GGGGTTTCACCGTGTTAGCCAGGATGGTCTCGATCTCCTGACCTCGTGATCCGCCCGTCTCGGCCTCCCAAAGTGCTGGGATTACAGGCTTGAGCCACCGCGCCCAGCCTACTTTTTTTTTTAAATACTTTAAGTTCTGATACACATGCGCAGAATGTGCAGATTTGATATATAGGTATACGTGTGCCATGGTGTTTTGCTGCACCCATCAACCTGTCATCTGGGTATTAAGCCCCGCATGCATTAGGTATTTGTACTAATGCTCTCCTTCCCCTTGTCCCCACCCCCTGACAGTCCCCAGTGTGTGATATTCCCCTCCCTGTGTCCATGTGTTCTCATTGTTCAACTCCCGCTTATAAGTGAGAACATGCGGTGTTTGGTTTTCTGTTCCTAAAAATGCGTCATGAATTTGTGTGTCATCCTTTCGCAGGGGCCATGCTAATCTTCTCTGTATCATTCCAATTTTAGTATATTTGCTGCTGAAGTGAGCAAAAATACACCGAGAACTTTTACAATGTCAGTTGTTAAAAGATTAATTTGTTTGAATAAAGGTGCTCTGGTCAATTTGACAATCTTTCCATTTCTTAGATCTGCTCTACAAATGGTATTTTAAGAAACGTAAAGGCATTATTTTTAGGAGCTTCCCTATACTAAAATTTCTTTACTCAGACCTAGCCAAAAAATAATAATAATAATAATAAAATAAAATAAAAGATAAAGCAAATAATAAACAAACCCTTCCTCATTTCTGTACTGGACTATGATTAGGCTTACTAATCCTCAAGTAAAAGCCACAAAAAAGCAATCCATCTTACCTCATCTGAGAGATTGTCAACTCTATACAAACTGGGATGAGTTGTGAGCATAAGGTAAACCAAGGGCTGGTTTTTCACTTGACACATAGCAAAAATGCGTTCATCTAGACGTGCATTTGTCCCAGTCTGGAATGATTTCTGTAACAGAAAACCCCCATTCCCCACAAAAGAAGATATTTTAAAAATACATCCAGAATTTTTAAAATGCCAGTTGTTAAAAGAATATTTTCAGAGAGAATTCACAAATTTACTGTCAATTTTTTAAAAGTATCTTTTTTAAGAAGTCACGCATGCCAGGCGCGGTGGCTCAAGCCTGTAATCCCAGCACTTTGGGAGGCCGAGACGGGCAGATCACGAGGTCAGGAGATCGAGAACATCCTGGCTAACACGGTGAAA